CAACTCCACTCTACAGCCAAGCTACGTCATATTGTCTGTCAGAACAACAACACGAAAGTCATTACACTGAATCTATATATGCATTAAGTTAGAGAGTCTCTTTTCACAGATCCATGCATTTAACTCGGCATTTTTCAGGGAAATGTGCTGTTTCACTGCAAAATGTCCTGTAATCCAGTTTATCAGTACATCTTCTTCACCGTTATCTAACATTGTTGTTTTATGTTGTTAATTAAAAAAAAGTATTGTTTAAAATAGTAAATCAAGAAGGCTTAGAGTTAAATTTGATGCCAGATACAATAATTAACTGCAGTGGAGTCATGTGTAGGATGGATTCAATTAGGCAGTGGAGAAAGCTTTATGTGTCAAAATACTGAAATACAAGAAGAGAGATTGTTCTCACTTTGGTACAATCTATATTTAGATTTCATTGGACAAGCACTGTTTGAGTGCTTGTCCTCACAGAACATCACTGAGTTGAAGCTATATGTTTTATCTCATCTCTTTCTCTATTTCTAATATGGATTGTTTCTTATTGTCTTGTAATCTCTCTTCATATATGAAAGAGACTTATTGTGGTTTAATACTTCAACTCTGGTTTAGAGTTATGCTGAGTACAAAGTACTTATTGGTAGCCCACAAAGTGTTACTCAACAGAAGAAAAAACAGGTCATTGCCTTCTTCTTTCTGATTTAACAGGTGTTAAATAGATGAAGCCTGCATAAACATGCACTGTTCTCAGTGTATATAGAGCCCCGTGTCATTCAGAAAACCACTGTAGTTAATGGAGTTCGGGCTAAATAGTTTCTTAGTGAGACAGTGGAAATAACGAAAAAATACTTGAAGCTTCATTTTTACCCTGACCTTTTATTTATTTTTTGGTCTTTCATGCAAACAGTAAGACAGAATAAGAAAAAAGAACACAGCAATAACTCTTGAATGATCACTTGAAGGCAAAATTCAAAACTCAACCCATACATAATCAAATTAAAACAAAAGCAGCTAGAGAACAAGGAGTAAGAGAATAAATTATACTACTCTCCTTTTAATGACTCAGCCTGGTAAAGAATCAATTTCCATTTATCTATATGGGACTTTATGGCCTCAAACTATATGTTTCTCAAACTCTCCTCTTGTCGTTTCATTTCATTTTTCTCTCAAATGGATACTTTCACATCTTTATGAGTAAAACATCTTCACCTAAAACAACTTGAGAAGTAG